ACAAAACGGCCAAACTAGAGCGGAAACTCCAAAAACGTTTGTTGGAACTGGTCAACTCAAAAATGTTGGCTACAGAAATTTATGATAGGATAAGACCCACGGGCTCTCAACGACCACAAATGTATGGCCTCCCTAAAATACACAAGCCGAACGTCCCACTTAGACCTATCTTGTCTATGATTGGCTCAGCACAACACGAACTGGCTAAGTGGCTTTCTGAAGTTTTGGACCCTGTTCTTCAAAAATATTCAAAACATTGCATCAAGGATTCTTTTACGTTCGCTGAGTTCATGCAAAACTTGAACATCGAAAACGAAACATCTTTCATGTGTTCTTTTGACATTAGTAGTCTTTTCACAAATGTTCCTTTGAGTGAGACCATCAAAATATGTGCCGACGCTTTGTACCGGAGCGAGCTTAATAGCCCACCATTCCCAGAGGAAGTATTCATTGAACTGATGGAAACTGCAACACGTTCAGTTGAATTCAGTTTTAACAATGAAATGTACCAACAAAAGGATGGTGTCGCTATGGGTAGCCCTCTGGGACCTGCCTTGGCCAATATCTTTGTTGGCTTTCATGAAGAGCGTTTGTTCGACTACGACCAAAAGCCAGGTGTCTATTTTCGGTATGTGGATGACACATATACCATTTTCAAAACAGAGGCTGAGTGTGATATTTTTCTAAAACACCTAAATAGCCTACACCCAGCCCTCCAGTTTACGTTTGAAAAGGAAGAAAATGATTCCTTACCATTTTTAGATGTTTTGGTCGAAAAGTCTAACACTGGATTTCTTACCAGTGTATATCGCAAGCCTACTTTTACCGGTCAGTACATACGCTGGAATTCATTTTGCCAAAACAACGCAAAGTCAACCTTGTCAAAACATTAGTACATAGGGCACTTATGATCTGCTCGAAATCTAAACTGCACGCTGAACTGGAAAAACTCAAAACGATCTTCTTGGACAACGGCTATCCTGAAGACGTCATTTTATCTTATACTAAGGAGAAGATCGCAAGTTTTTCGGCTGTTCAAAAGTTTGGTCCGCAAAAGTGCCCAGTTTATTTGAAACTACCATGGATTGGTAACACTTCCTTGCGATTCGAGAGTCAGATTAGGCCAGCCATAACCAATTGTTTCTTTGCTGTCAATCCTCGGATTGTTTACAGCACTAGGAGAGCCCTTCCATCCATTCAAAAGGATTGCGTCCCTACCAAACAAAAAAGTTCCGTCATTTATGAATTTACGTGCCAGTGTGATTCTGGCTACGTAGGGCGCACAACCCAAAGATTGGGGGATAGGATAAAACAGCATGTTCCTTCCAACATACGAAACAAAACTGCCCCTCAAAGAGAACAGCCTCCTCGATCTTGTAGGTCTAGAAACACTGTTAAAACAAGTGATTCTGCCATTGGTCAACATCTTTTAGACAACCCAGATTGTGCAAAACTCTATAATGACGACATGTTTCGGATAATTGGCAGAGCCCGGTCGTCCTTCCATCTAGCAGTTTTGGAGTCAATCTACATAAAAACGAAAAAGCCGCCATTGTGTAGACAAAAGGAGTTCGTTTTCTCTCTTGGACTCCATTGGTAATTTTTCTTTAGGCTCGCGGCACTGATTGGTCAACTATACCGGTCTTGTGCTTGCGTTTTTCTGATTGGCCTATTTCGATCCACAACTGGGTATATATTTTTCAAACGTGTTTTTTCGGAACCTATTCTGACGTTTTATGCTCTGAGGAGTGTCAGACGAAAAAGCTTTAAGTATGTTGTAAAATGTTTGCTTTTTTCAAAGCCATTGTAATCCTGTTATTGGCAAATATGCAAGAATAACTACTACCTTTTTGGCACCAGCCTTAAACACAACCAAATACATTTGGAGAACCAACCCCGGCCAATGAACATGTTGAACAAACAAGTTGATGCATTTGCACTTCATTATAACTCTTCATGCGCAAGGGATTGCGTCATAAACACACAACAGTATCCTTGCCGACAAAAAATGCCATCAGGTGGCTGTTTTATTTGTTGAACCCTGGTATGACAGAACCAGATGTATGTCAGACAATCGTGTACAAATAGAAGCTAGATAATTTTCTATCATGGAAAATTTAACAACTTCTTTATATGGAAATTTAAAAAGTGAATCTCAAACCACTCATTTTGCCTTATTTTATGTCAGTTATGTGAGTTATCTTGCTTAAAATAGGCAAAAAATTGTCAGAGGTGAAACTCATTTTGCAGTAAACTTTTCTTGAACACATCAGTTGTTGTTCACCATATCCTCCTTAGTTTATTCAATGAAAAGGCGTTTCTGTCTGCTTCATGAGCGTCCTGTAAAAACTAGTTTCCTTTCAGTAAACCAGCATTGTTTTAGGAGGGAGATGGGGATGGATGAATTCGAACGTGCATTAACTTTTTAGTTTATTTGGCAGTGATTATGCTTGTTCGGTAAACTAACAAATAGAGGAGACAAACAAGACAAAGTTTAATAACGAGTGAGCCATCGTATCCCTTCTTAACTCCAGAAGAACAAGTTTATTGATCTCGATAACAATTTTTATGTCGTATACAGTGGCGGCTCGTGACTTTCACAGTTGGGAGGGCAGACCATAAATATTGCTGCAGCGTTTGCAAATTTTTCACTGTATTCATGGTTCGATGTTGATCGTCATGGAGCGCAGAAGAAAACGCATATATAGATGTGGTTGTTGTTTAGCGATGATGTCATTTTATGGGCAAAATTTTTCTTGCCCCGAATTCCTCCAAATAAGCCAATCACAGGCCGCGTTTCGCAATGCACGAGGTCGAAAATTGGCTTGTGCGCATGTCGGCTAGGGGCAAAAAAAATTTTGCCCGTAAAATGACATCATCGCTCAAGGCACTAGCAGGCCAGAAGCGAGGCTAAGGATGAGACTGGATAGCGAGGAGCTTTTTCTAGAAGAGATACAAACTTATATAATTAACCACAGTAAGACTATCTTCAAAATTAAATATGAATATCATAGATTTCCTTTGAATCTTTTTGAGGGGGCATTGCCCCAGATGCCCATTAGCAAGAGCCGCCACTGGTCGTATAGACTTTGGGCATTACTTCAATAGGCCACTCTTAAAAGGTTTGGGTCATTGGCCGTAAAAAGAATGCACTCTTTCGTGGATTTTGTCCAGAATCCGAGATAAACGTAAGTATACGAAAGTGCAGGTCATGTGTGGCTTATTTTTGAAGGCGTTGCTGTATTCCTCGGCAAAACCTCCATATTTCGTTGATATAAAGCCTTGGCTAAACTGGGCAACATTGTTGCGCGACAGTGTTGCTTGAAATTTTGTTGATTTTTTTGTCTGTCGAAAGATTGTAGTCAAATTGGGCAACATTGTCGTGCAACATCTGTTGCTAATGTTGTCACAACAGCGTGCCAAATTTGATCTGATAAGTGGTTTTCCGTGCCATGTTTGATTTGAGCACAAATTTGGATAAGTATGGCAGAAAGAAAACAAGCTGCAACTACTGGAAGCTGATTTTGACATCACAAAACCACTGTTTTTTAGCACTCTTTTGTCGAGCACGGGTAGAAGCAGTAGCATTTGGCCGATTTGTTGTTTTTAAAGAACTTGCACTTGGATGTATTTCAGACGGTACCTTTTTATTCTTTTTACACTATTCCTCCTCCCCAAGGTTTTCTGTACAATCAACTTCAAAGGTTCAACTTTGACAGGCCACTTCATCTGAATCGAGTGCAGCACATTATTTTGCAATACCACACTGCGCATGTTGATTCTTCTCAGATGGGAAATTAAGGTCAATTTTTGCACGGCAATGTGGCCAAACTGGACAACATACAGCTGATCAACAAATGTTCCAGAAAAATGTCTGAGAATGTTCAAACACTTGAGCAACAAATATCGTGACGAATTTCTTGGCCGATATGGTGGCCAAACTGGGCAACATTTAAGCAAATCAGGAAGTTGTGAATGCTACCCGGCAATGTTACCCAGTTTGGCAAAGTCTTAATACTTTCTTTGAATAAATACCTAAAGTTTCTGTAAACTTTGACAATTAGCTTAGGCCGTTATTTTAGGCCATTTTCTTACCATTCTTATCTTTAACGCCACAGGCATCCATTTCACTGTAATCAGATGTAGGATCATTACTATTATCTTGTACTTTTCTAAGACGTGCTTTTGTCGCTCTATTTTTGCTTCCGTCTTTGAGATAGAAAGTATCTACATATAAAGATCAGTAAATGTTGAAGCTTTACAATTGGCTGTTTTTTCATATTATCGGTAAAAAATTGCTACAAAGCTGGACATTTCTCTGAACTTGTCATCAAATACGAAAAACAATGCATTGAGTTGAGGGCTTTTGTATCTCATAGTATTCCATTTTCATTGGAGATCTTATTTGCATCACTCACACGAGATTCTAAGCGCGTTTTGTTGGAATACAAGTCATTTCTTGGATTTCATGCTCAAAATTCCAAGTGGTTAACCAAAGCTATTAATTAACAAATGTGAATGAAACTTTTTGTTTTAAAAGATTGATTTGATCGGTCCGCCAGTCTCAATAAATCTACAATAAATTTAGATATTTATATTCCCATGCAACAATATTTCATTTGTGGTTAATGTTTTTTTAATTAATAATGTATCAAACTTGTATTGTCACGCTTAACGTATGCTCAAAACCTTTTACGACTTTATAAAGCTAAACTGAGTTTATTTCATCTCAAACACCAATTATAATTCTCTTTTGGGGTTTATGTTTTTAAATTAAATATCACATTTACAAAAGAATATCAAGCAACGTGGATTGCTGTTATTCTGAGGATCTTCTATGCTAGTGGCCTACGTTGATTAGTTAGAAGGGGAAGTTGTAGAACCTGAGGTCGTTTATTTGGTAGCAATCATGAAACTTTAAGATGTTAAATTTTTGTTTACATAAGTTTCCCAATGCTTTCATTGAATTCTGAAATCGGAAATTATTTCTCATTTTTCAGACGTTGGAAGAATTTTCCATAAATTTGAAACTGAGGATGACTACAATGATTCCAAATCAATTTTTGACAACAGGCCTTGAGGCAAAGCATGATACAAACAATAATGAATGTAACACCGACGAGCGGAGGAGCGGCGCCTTCAGTGCTGCTCGAGTCTCCGTGATCACATCCACATATTCATTACCATCCATGACATCGGTTGATACTGATAACAATGAAGACAACGCTTTAACAGCAGCTGAAGTGAAGCAGGCAGAAAAGAAAGACGAAGCTAGTATGTAGTTTGCATTTTCAAAATTGAGTTTTTCCTAATATTACGTCATAAGCAAGTGAAGGACTTTGAGAGGTGATTGCTACATGAGCCATCTCGACTTTCTTTACTCATTAGTTTTCTTAATAATTTTACAGAGAAGCCATACGGCGGAAGACCTCTTAAGTACGAATGTCCGGAGTGCCAAAGACGCTTTCATGCACCAAGTCATTTGAAGCGACACGTGATGAGTCACAGCTCGGAGAGACCATTCCAGTGCTCTGTTTGCGGAAAGGGTTTCTTGCAAGCCTGGCACCTGGGCAGGCATATGACAACACACACAGGGAACAAGCCATTCAAGTGTGTCGAATGCTCAAAGTCGTTTGGAAGCCGTTTTGAGATGAGGACCCATATAAACTACATCCACAAAGGTATGTTATACATCATTGCTCGCTTGCATATAGTCTGTAAGTGTGCATTTTTGCCATTATTCAGCACAAGGCTAGTAGTGAACTTTCATGGCTCTGCATTACACCTACTGTGCCGAGTTTTAGCACCTACTTACAAATAACATTGCGTCATTCAATAGATAAAACCACTTGATAAAACCTTGCCGTTATATTTTCTATCAAGCATTGATTTCTTTACCAGGGATCAAGGAACACAAATGTGATGTTTGCGGTAAACACTTTACATTGCGAAGCAACTTGAAAGTTCACATGCGCAAACACACTGGGGAAAAACCTTACCAATGCACGTTTTGCTCAAAGAGATTTGGTCAAAGAGGCCATCTGCAATACCACATCAGAAAACATGAAGGTACGTTTCCTTTGTGTAAGAAGGAAGAAACGCAGGATAGGCTGTCCGCCGGATTCTGTGAATCTTGCAATGAGTGTTGTTATGAAAGATATACAGGAACAAAGCAATACGACGACAAGAATCCAATGTCACGGGATAAAATTTTCAAAATAAATTGAATTTAAGAAAATTACGTTTCCTTTGTTCAAGCAATTAGTTGTCTTGCAATAACGGTTTATGTGGAAATTTTTTCACTCTCCAGTTTGGTCATTATGTCTTACGTGATATTTACATGTCCTGATGATGACAAAGCTTGGAGTATTTGCAAGAATGTCCCCGAAATTGGCCCAAGTAGTAAACACCTTTCTACCTTTTCTTCAGCGTGCATTTGCAGAAAGGGCTTGGTGCTAGATTTAAGTTTGCATTTTTCATTATTTGGCTCTACAAAGTACAAAAAGTCTTCATGTTTTAAAGGTCTTCAAGAGAGTCGATTACCTTGCTGTTTCTAATCAGAGCATTTTTTTCAGGCAAAGACGATTGCAGCGATCAGTCACATTTCCAGATATCCAGGGCAGGTGAAAAGGCTTCCAAATACCCACGTGCAAAACTCTGTTCCGTTTCCGAACATTCTGACTGCCAGGATGACGATGGGGAGTGTGACAGTGGCATCGGAAGTTATGAGTCAGAGACGGAATTGAGCGCTTGCTCATCCCCAGTTCATCAAGAAACTTTCGACGACCAGCCTTTTGGCTGTAATAAACCTGCTCATTCGACAGACAGGCCATCAAGCCCTGAATATATTCTGCCTGAGAAGTCTCACCAAAGCCCATTGAAAAGACGAAATCCGGATGCCCGCATTCCAGAAGTAAAGCCTTTCGTCTGCTACTCTTGTAACTGTGGATTCTCAGAAGTCAGCTCACTGAGAGCACATGTCCGGCATTCGCACCCTAGAAAGGGCATTGCTGTTGGCGATTTTCGTTGTGCTTTCTGCCTTGGTAGCTTCTCGTCAATAGAATTGCTACATGACCATGTGCGCAGCCACCAGCTGCCTGAATCAAATGGCTACCAGAGCGAAAGCAATCGTGTAGTTACAACATATGAAAAGCCAAAAATGTCTGCCAAGTCACTTGCTTTCTCAATAGAGAGTATCTGTGCTGAAACTAGTCCTAAATCTTCTCCAAAGCACCAGGTAAGCCATGCATACCCAAGCATCAATTCACCGCATCAAAGCCAACTTTTCAACCGAATGATGATGTCATCATCGCCAGTGTCAGTGCGCAGCAGTCTTGCCAGCAGCTTGGACAGAGCTTATTGCAGCACTGACATTCATTCGCATACAGACGCCTTCTGCCAGTGCCGCATTAACATGCATCACCTCTACATACGCTAAACACTTGCTTAATGACCAAAGTCTTACGACTTAATACTTAAATTTGACGAAAGCTCTGTCCGGTAAGTTTGATATTGTAATTGAATTCATCAACCCAATGATCCAAAACTTTTTTCTCTTTGTTGTTAAAATGAATATTGATCTGATTTTCTATTTCGAAATAAATCCAATTACAGTTTTTCTGCTAGGCTCGATTTTGCCGGATAGCGCTTCAAATTTTACGATATATAGTAATTTAGATACAGTTCGTTCTGGGGGAGTACCTATGTTTTGACATGACATCAAGTGGCCTATAGCGCCCTGTCGATGATCGCAAATATATTCAAAGAATAATTGTCATTTTTGGCATTTTAAGTGTGTAGCTTTAATAATAAATTCTTAACATTACAACCAAAGCATGATATGTAGCTGGTCGAAAGGAGCATTATAACTTTATATTTAGATGAAAAAAAATATTACCTTCGCCATTAAAGTTTGGAAGAGTAAGGCTTGTCTGATTTGACTGAATAATCGAGCCTTTCTGAGCCATGTATCATGTTATGAGCAAAGAAATTATTTGTAGAAGGGACTGGGTTCAGTCCCTGATTGGCTTAGTCTTAATGACGTGACTTGCGAGGTTAAGCTGACTTGCAGTATTCCAGAATATTTAGAGATTTCATTGGAAACATGCTTTTCTTCCTTAAAAAGAAAATAGATGGCAATTTTCAACATATGCATACCACTAGTATACCAGAAATATGATTTGCTTACAGTCAGCTTTACTTCCGCATGATTTGATACCTCGGACAATCAGAGTTCCCACACTCTGTACTTTCATTCTTGATGAAACTAATGCAGGACTTTTCTAGTTGATATATATCACAGGGGAAACAAGGTGTTTTTCGTTGAACATTTATTAAGCTGTTATCTAACACAAAGGTACGTAGTTAATGATGCCGTTGACAAAGGTATTTCTTCTACAATGTTTTCTCGGGATGAAGTCAGACTTTTACCCTCGAAGATCGACTACAACCTAATTTCCCTCTACATTAATTAACACTTAGCTTCAGCGTGAAGCAAATATTACTTGTGATATTACCTGCTTTCTTGGGGGTTATTGTCGTAAAGGAACGGATAGGAATCAAAGGAAGAAAAGAATCTACTTTCATGCATCGAAAAGAAATACGCGAATGATGTTAGAGTTCATGAAGAAAAAGGCAAACATTTTACTTTATCTGCCTCAACATATATATTTTGTTTGGCAGTGTTGATATATATTTTTCTTTTGCATTATTTCGCACTGAGAAATGCCTTGGCAGCATGATTAAATTAATGCAACAGTTACGCAATGGCATAGGTAATCTAAGGGAAATTCTATTGGCTGCTATAGTATTTTATGATCGTAACGTAAGGGAAAGAACGTAAGAAAGGCTATAAGATTCAGTGTCCATTTTTAAAGCATCGTGTTGCTAAAAAATTTACAGGAGAATGTAAAAAAGTTCCCTTTAATGTCTTTGCATTGCATAAGAATGCTTCGCTGTCATTATAAGTTTGAAGAATCTATAGGATATCGTCACAAAAAATATTTCATAACTTTTTGCTTATTTCCCACACCCTAAAGCACACCCTATAGCACACCCTACAGCACACCCTACAATACCGCTGACGTGACGTGACGTGAGATTCACTAACGTGAATATCAAACACGATATTCTGCCGTTTAAGACGAATACCTGCTCTAGGTTAGCAGTAGTTTATCCGGAATCTCGGTCAATGTAAATAAATGGTGTTGTAAAATTTTTGTTGTTTTTTATCGGTGTACGTTTTCATGGTAGAGAGATTGTTGATAATCTCTCCTAGTCACTCCGACCTTTTGCTTAACTCATTTAACCTTTCAATTGTCATTAAATGTTTTTGTCCGTTTATGTTTACATTGTAATACTGTCTTCTTTTGGTATTTTCCAGGGAAATAGCCATCATCTTTGAGTATTAATATTTTTTAGCATTGAATAGTCAAACAATAGGGCAAGTCCTGGGTCTATTGATGTCATCATCTGTCATTTGTCATTTGTTGATGTCATTTGTCTGAAAACGTCTCTTACTAAGGATCCTAACCTTTAACTTTTTAATTTATCTTCATCGTGCCGTGTTGCTTCGGTGACATCTGTTGACATCCAATATGATATTGATTCATAGGCTGCTACTAAACAGCAAATGAAAAAACACATGATACAAATTATGTTTAACAAACAATATTTGAAACTTTATTATACTATCAAATATTTGCATGGCTTAACATGAATAAACTTAACAAACAGCATGTTATTCGTCCATTCCATTCAATTTTAATCTACATCAGGGACCTTATCGTGGCTTAAGTTCAAAATATGAATTGAGTTGCAAATATACTTGTGAATTATCAAAATTAACATTCAATTTGCTATGATGGCTATATTTTGCTTTTTCATCAACCTGAAGGAGAAAATTTGCTTGTATTTTCTGTGGTCTTCACTTCTTCCGTTGCCTATACTGATTTGTTTGTTGCCTTGGTATAGCAAAGTTGAGTTACATTACTGCGAAATTAACATATCACGGTAGAAATAATCAGAAAACTCACATTTTCCCAAAATGACCGGACTAGCTGACCCATGAAAGCCAAAAGCAAGATAAAACAAATAAGATAGAAAAATATCAAATTCAATTATCGATTTAATGATACCATAAAAAATAAAGTAAACCTTGAATCAAAGTTATATAGTTTTTAGTCTTGTCCCTGTCTATAGGTTTTCTTTCAAAATTTGTTATTTAAAACATGTCAAAGATACTTTCGGCCATTTCTTAGGATTTCGGACAAAGAGAATTGACGGCAATAAAATGGGAATATTGACGTACCGATTTGACGTCAAATAACCTCAGGAAAAACCTCGACATATACACGAGGAAATACGGTAGCTGTCCTTTTTGCTTGAAATACCAATTTCGTGATATTGCAAAAATTTGTTTCTCTAAAAAAACAAGAAAGCTCAATGGATGCGTGTATTGTATGAAATATTCAGTTTGAAACAACTTCTCGAAAAGACAGCCAGGTTAGAATGAGCAATTCTGAGAAAAGGCCTTTTAGATCATCGATGTCTTTAAGTGTAAGTGTTGAAGCGAAAGTTTACCAGCAGGTTTGAACGATCAAATGTAAAAAAATTTCCGGAGATATTTCTCGTTATGGGAACAAGTTCATATCGATAGTCCATCATTCTTCTTACAGATGTGAAATTATTTCACTCTCCATCAAAATTTCACTCTCTTGCCCTGGTTCTTGGATTTTGTCTCTCTATCAAAGAGAATTCTACCTTTGCTTTTCCTCTTGACAAAAACCAGTTATTCACAGGGGCGGTTTGGTATTCGCTCAAAGTTTTATCTGTAATGAATTAAGAAAGTTTGCTGTAATTTACAGTTAACAAGTAATGAAGCTAGTTTTATAATGCTATTCGAAATATTGTCAATATTCTGATATTTTGATAAATATGGACAACAGGAGGTTGTCTCTGCTAGTGCTGCTTCATTTAAGTGCCGCTTTTGACACCTTGGATGCTATGAATTTGCAAAATATCTTGCTAAAAATATAGTGTGCCACAGGGAAGCTGACAAGGCCAGTGATATTTTTGCTTGTGTAGAGCTGTCATCATTATATGATCTATATGGTTATGCAGAAAATCAGCTCTATATTTCTTTCAAGAATAACAGTGAAAGTGAAGCTGAGGCAATGAAAGAAATTGCGAACTGTATTGCTGTTGTAAGAAAATGAATGTTACAGCATAGGGTATAAATCAACGATGAAAAAACTGAGCTCATCATCACTGGTAGCAGTAAACAGTTGCTAGAACATTAAAATGGGTGAAAGTACTGTTTTTCCTTGGCAGAACGCAAAAAAGCTGGATGTCATCTTTGATGAAAGCTTATCCGTGAATAAACATGTGACGTGAGCAATGTTTGTAAAAAAGGATTTATGATCTGTATTTACTACGGCAGTTCAGGAGATAATTTAATCGTGGCACCTTTAAATATTTAGTTCACGCCCTTCTTTGTAACATCACACATTGACTATGGAAATGCCATGTCATTTGGACTTCATGACGTTACCATTATATAGCTGCAGAAACTCAAAACTGCAGCAGCAAGACTGACTTTTGACAGATAGTGCCAGAGAAACGCAATCCGGAGTCGGAGAGATAGTGTTATAGAAATACTGAAAGAATTACATTGGTTACCGATTAGTTATGGGGTCTTGTATAAGCTCTCACTACTGGTGTTTAAATGTATGGACAATGTCGGACCTGCTTATTTGAAGGAGTTATTGATAAGTAAAAAAGCTGCCACAACACTTCGATCAGCAGAGCCTTCCCTGCTTCATTCTTCAAGTGTTAGAGCAGCAACTTTTGGCAAGAGAGCATTTGAATATGCTGCACTGTTTACCTGGAACTCTTTTCCTCTCCATATCTGGAAATCTAAGTCCGTCACTAATTTAAGAAGGAGGTTAAAGTATATGTTTTGAGCAAACATTTAATGATTAATTTATCATTTATTTTGAAAAAAACTGTAACTTTTAAGGATCTTCACTGTCAATTTAACCGTAATTTATGTTAATGTAACCTTTTTTATCTTTCTATAGTATGGGCCACAGAATATTACAATATAGGGACACGTTATAAATTCAAATATTTATTATCATTTCTGTTCTAGTTTTCAGCTGCAAATAAACGCAGTGAAGAAAGGTTAAAGTACTTGTTTTACTTTTAGAAATTGAAAGCAACCCAACGAACTTATACTGGTGACGGGCATGCATGTGGATACTATGAGATACACTGCATTGGTACTTGTCGTCCTAGAGGAAAAGTACTTACTTCTTTAAGAGAATTATCTTTGAACGTCCTAAGACACAGATGATTGTTGTTACCTAGAGAAGATTTCGACAAAAGAAATGTAACTTTCTTCCTTTTCCATCGGAAATCTTTACAAAAATTCGAAACAAGTCCTACTTATGACGATATGTATTGGTCATCGACCTTCTTACATTGATTAGAGGCAGATCTCTTGGATTCAGAAGGCAAATCTCTTGGATTCAGAAGGCAGATCTCTTGGATTCAGAAGGCAGATCTCTTGGATTCAGAAGGCAGATCTCTTGGATTCAGAAGGCAGATCTCTTGGATTCAGAAGGCAGATCTCTTGGATTCAGAAGGCAGATCTCTTGGATTCAGAAGGCAGTTCTCTTGGATTCAGAGGGCAGATCTCTTGGATTCAGAAGGCAGATCTCTTGGATTCAGAAGGCAGATCTCTTGGATTCAGAAGGCAGATCTCTTGGATTCAGAAGGCAGATCTCTTGGATTCAGAAGGCAGATCTCTTGGATTCAGAAGGCAGATCTCTTGGATTCAGAAGGCAGATCTCTTGGATTCAGAAGGCAGATCTCATGAATTCAGAAGACAAGCAGGCATCTTTTGAAACTTTTAAAGGATGCTTAAAATGATTTTTTATTGCTGATGCTGTATCATTTGCTGATTATTGCAATTAGAGGTTTTAACTTGGTATTTTATTATTGAAATTGTAATTGATATAAAATATGTTCACCTTGCAAGACTTCATGGGTGACTTCTTGATAACCAATCCCTATGGACTGACGGGGCAGCCTTGGTTAAAGGAAACTGAAGTGAAGCAAAAAACGAAATGAAATACAAGAAATAGAAAATCGGGGTAACAATGTAGGATACATGTAGATTTGTGTCAGGTGTTTGAACATTTGCAGTTTTGAACAAAATAGGTAAACGGGCGCAGTTTACAGTAAACAACTAGTCGAAGGCCACTCTAACAACTTTTCATCATACCCTTTAGTTGAACTTTTTTTAAAGATACCATCATATTTATGATCAATGGTTTTTAAAATATGAATGTGTTTTGAATTTCTTGTGGACCATATATGGAAAATTCATATGCTCAAACCTTAGTGGAAGGCCCTGAAATTTTATTCTGCTTTCGCATTGCAATATATATATTTCCTAGAGAAAAAGGTATATCTTTACCTTGGTTCAAGTTATGGTGTCAATAATGGCGGAAACAAAAGTGCCAAAAGTGAGCTGATTCTACTTTTCTATGAACATCATGTTATGTTAGTGTTTGAAACTTTTTAGCGCTAACTAAACGGGTGCCTTCAAACACATATTGAAATCTATCAGAAAAAGTACCTGCAAAAGCTTGGCGATAATAACAAGTTTTGCATCATATTTATACAAAACGTGGCAACCTCTGTAGATTTATCACCAACGAAGCTCTTGCTTCGTAACATGTTACAATGATTTAAACACAAGGAAAGGGACTCTGTTTGCTCAAAAGCAAACGCGCCAGGCAGTTTTTATATGAATTACCACAAAATGGAGGAAAAAATACAAATGAAGGCTGCTGTAGGGGGTAAGGAAATTAATAATTTTTATAACTTATTGTTTCAGTTTTGAGGGGGCTTACTTCCTCTACATCACCATTAAGTAAGGAGGCGCGCTCGTATGAACAGACTTAACGCGCGGGGACGCATCTTGAAGATACCTATAGGTTCTCCAAAAGAGCCAACAGAAGTTACTAGTTACATGGAGATAAATAAAAATGCTGTATACATTTCATGTTTGTCGAAGCTTTCGAAAGAACCCATATAAGTTACATGATCGTCACTGGGCAGCTTCTGGCAGAACAAAAACACAATACCTGTTAAGAACCTTTATAAGTTGTGCTTGATGTTTAAGCATGAGTATTGGCCAGGGGCGGACTGGCTAATTTTTTTGGCCCGGGCAAATTATGATCAAACCGGCCCACAAAGATAGCGAATAAAAAGCTACACGGAAAATGCAAGTAAATGTTAGTCTGTAAGGAAAACAAGTTTTTAAATTCAGTAATTTTGTGCATGGATGAATGCTGGTTAACAGAACATGTTAAATATGTCATTTCCTGACTAAATAGTAAATAAACAAAAATTTGAACTCATTGGTTTGACTTTCTTTCTAAATACAGTAACTTATATGTTGATAATGTGATCGTTCTAGATGTCATCTAACAGGTGTTTTTCTAAGAACATTAACATGAAGGACTCCAGGTTTGGCTGCGAAAAATTACCACGTAATCTGTTCTTTATATATTTAAAGTGGAAAAGCTTCAATCACACTCAACTTGTGACAAATAATTTTATAATCCTCCGGAAAACCACAATGATTATCAGCAGCCCAAAAATATCGATTTGTCAATTTCTGACCCCAGTTGAAAATTTAACGTGTAGCACCATACGTTGGGCGGGGGTCCATTTGACTTATGATAGTATATGCCTAATAAATTTACCATAACTTGTATGAGTTTATTGAAAGGAGCAAAAGCAAGATCCTGCTATTTTTTGTGACGTTTGTGGCTTTTGCTTGATAAAAAAAGCTTTGTATCGTAGCTGGAGTCTCACAGCTTTTCCT